CACAAGCACGTTGTTAAGCAGGCACAACTGTTTTCACACTATACTGCTGATGACACGAAAATAATGATGGATTACGCTAGTTTTGCATGAACAGAAATAATTTCATTCATAGCAACTTATAATCACAGAACTTGAGGATGCAAGCAGGTTAGGAGGCACGTGTTCACTAACTTGACGAGCACATTTATGGCGGTTATTGATGGATGTCCTTTTTGATTGCACATTGAATGTTAACAAAATCTGACTCGGTAATATTAACATTTATATTTAATTCTAGGATGATATATATTTTAACATATATTTACTTATACACAATCACATTGCATGTAGTTACAAGATGAGTATTTTTACAGTTCGCAAGTCCGCATGAGTAAAAATCAAGTCAAGTAAGTAAAGTCATATTACAGCCACGATAACATCAGGGAGGGAAAGAAAGGTGAGTGCGTGCTTCACCGACGGCAGCCAGGAACCAAGTAACCAGTTCGAATTTTCCTCCAGAGAGGAAGAGGGAGAAAGCTGGTAGCGCCCTCTCTCGGGGCAGCAGACAAATAATAATAATAATAATAAAGAGTTCTCCACAGGTACAATCTTTGAGTCAGTGGGTCTTGTTTCTCCCTATACTATCAGGTTAAAGCTAATTTTCCAAGCACAGTAAGAAGGAGGACCTTATTAGAATAATTACCTGCTTCAAAAACTAAAAGAAAACTGGAAACATTGTTTTGAAATCACACTTCAGAAGAATATTTTAACTGCAAGATAATACTTTCAAACAAATGTAACAATGAGCAGAAATGCAGTGCAAATGCATGTATCTTGTGAAAAGAGCCCAACAGCTTGTAGTCACCACTCAAAACAGAAGCGAGCAAGATGCCAATCCGTCACTATCATTACCTCCTTAACTGAAAACAGACTAAATATGTTTTTACATTCTAAATGTGTTTCTTGTGTTTGCAGTTTTAATTATCCCTTAATAAGGTAAGAAACTTTGATTCTAATTTAATATTTGCTTAATGCTAGTTAACTGTATTTAGATGGCAAACAATTGAACTGTGCATTCCTTCAACATTCCTGCATGTATGTTTATTTCATCCGAATGCATAAAACATAATCAAAGTTCATTTGTTAAGCTAAGCTATTAAGAATAAAAACAGAAAAGAAACTCTATCATTAATTCATGCTGGATAATTGGAAAAAGACAAGGCTGTCTTCAGAAAATAAAACAAATATAATTGCATACTGTGCGTCTGAAAAAAAGAAGAAAACATTTCTATTAGCTGTGAAAATAAGTACTCAGATGCAAAATAAAACAACTACTACCAACCATAGAAATACGAAAATAGTGTGAAAAGGGAAAATTTATGCGATTTAACTGCAAATGATACACCAAAAAGAAATCACAACTGAGTGCATAAAACGAGATGAACAGGTAAATGTTATCATAAGTCTAATTGTAGAAGACAACCTAATTGTACACATAAGAAACAAAACAGCAGCTAAAGCAATATTGAATGAATTAAAATTCATGAAAGAAAAAAAAAATCTTTTCAGCAAACTGTATTCTAAGAAAATTTCATCCTTTAAAATCAGAAAGCGAATACAAGCTTAAAGAACACATTGAAAAAATGCTTCAGACAAACTGTGAGGAATTGGAGAAGTAAAGGAAAATCATACTGCAGCACTCTTATTAAGCGGCTTATCAAATCTGATTGATGAATGTTCATGAAGAAAAGAAGGCATTCGAACAGAAGAGACAGCTGCTTTCAAAACGAATTTTGGCACAAAATTCAAAAATTTCCATCACTGAAGATGCAATTATTGCACAACAATTAGGACATTAAGGAAAAGAATGCAGATTCTTAAATAACTACTAAGAAAAAATAAAAAGTTATTTGTTTTCCAAGAATGAAAAGTAACTAAATAAAGAAAATTATGGAAATAAATAAAAAATGAAAGATGCTATTAAAGAGGATAAACATGAAGATTAAAATAAAAATAAGAAGTTTGAGAAGGCAGAATTATACATTCAAAGTTACCAAAGAATGAGAATTCCAAAACACAAACTGGGTAGTTGATTTAGGAGCCACATGTCAAGTGACTGATAATATACACTTTTTTACAAAATTAAACAGAAGCAAAACACAGCAAATAACAATTGCTAATAGTCTTCAAAATAAAAAGGCATTGAAGGATACATATACTGTATAGACGACAAAGATAACAAAATAGAAATAAAACTCAGACATATGTTCCTGATCTCAAATAATGGCCAATATCCATGCAAAAAATCACAAACAAAGGGTTTACAGTTGAATTTAAAGAAGATACTTGCAGAATAAAAAAGAAAATTAAAACTATAGCAATTGCTAAAACAGAAGGAAATTTATGTAATAGAATAATAAAAAAATGTGATGTTGCAGTTACAAAAAGATGTGAAAACAGTATGGATCTTTGGCATAGAAGATTAGGACACATAAATTATGAAACTATCAAGAGGCTGAAGAATGATGACCTGGCAAATAGAATAAGAATCAAACAAGAAATTGAAAAAGATACAGAATGTGAATATTGCATCAGAAGCAAAATGCCTGAATTGCCGCATCCCAAGTTAAATGAATACACATCAAAACCGAATCTGAATTTGAAATATTCAGACATTTGTGGACCAATGGAAAGACATCACTAGGAGGGAAGAAATACTTCATAACATTCATTGATGATTATTCAAGATATGCAAAAGATGAAGCTATCTTCATTTAAATTAATTCATAATCATGATAAAAAAAATTTGAAAAGGAGCGTCTTAAGAACAGACAATGCAGAAAAATACACAAAGAAACTGATGAATATCTAAAAGAAGACGGAATCAAACCTTTGTAGCATATTCACTACAGCAGAATAGTTGAGCAGAAAGAAAAAATTGGTATGTAATGGAAATGACAAGATGTCTGCTACTCGCTTTGGGACTCAAAAGTGAATTCTGGAGCAAAGTCGTATGACAATCGTACAAAACAGACTGCCATCAAGATCAAGTGAAAAGAAGCTGTATGAGCTCAAGAATAATTAAAAAAACCTAACTTAAGCTATATCGAAGCTTTCAGCACCACAGCTCATTGCCTACTTCCAAAGTAGAAAAGTAAATTGGACAAAAAAGCAGAAAATGGAATTCCCATTGAATATAGTGATCATAAAAAGGATATAGAATTTATATGCCATGTGCAAAGAACATTACCATCAAAAGTAGTGCAATATTAGATGAAAACACAAAGGAAACAATACCTCATTAAATAAATGATCAGAATGAGGAAACACAATGGCCTTTTAAAGAAAATGAATCGAGCAAATCATGGCCACATGCTACAAAAGTGGAAATTGAAACAGAAGAAACTTCTCTATTATAGAGAAGATCCCAAAGAAAAATTAAGGGAATCCTGCCAACAGATTCATATACATGGCAAAGAATGAAGAAATCAAAATTCCTAAAGATTGGAAAGAGTTGCAAACTTTCCCAACTAAAGCAAAGAAACTGTGGAAAAAATACACAAAACAAGAAATAGAATCACTACAGAGAGTAAAATATGAGGAACCAGTTGACCTTCCAAAAGGAAAGAAAGCAACTGGAAATAAATGGACACTCAAAATATAACTTGATGCTTCCAGAAATGTTATCAGATACAAAATTTGTCTAATAATCTTCACCATTCATCACTGAAATATCTTCATCATTTGACATGACTGGCATTTGTTTTATTAGATCCTTGCTTATTAGAGAGAGTAAAGAAAAGCATTACATTTTAGCATGTAATGCACTGACAAGAGATATTCATCAGTTCCTAATTTAAGCATATAATTTGTTTTACATGCACTTCAATGGTTTATTTCATGACATGGACAGTGTACCATAATACATTTCCATTATGCTAAAGTCTTTAACACAACAAATCTAAAACTGAAAGAAATATGAAGAAAAATTAATCATTTGATATAAGTGAATTTTTCGGGAAAAGCCAGAATTTAATGGTAATTCTTTGAAAGGGGAAAACAGTTGCAAGGTTTATTATAAACATATAAACCTTGCAACTGTATCCTCCTTTCTGAGAATCTGTTGAGGTTCACAGTTGAGAATAGTGAAAAAACAACTCATTAAAATACTTAGAAATTCATCTCTTTCAACCGAAGACTTGGAAGCTCTCTTAACAGAAATAGATGCTGTTATGAATTAAACACCCACCACCTATGTTTATAGAAATCTATAAGAATTAGTTTCTTCAAAATTCCTTGCAGGATATCATTTGAATCCTTTGCTGCCCGTAAAATATCATGATGAAAATGCTGATGTAAATAGAAATAATGTGATACCATCAGCACTAGAAAAGATTGGAAAATAGAATATTTTGTGAAATTAAAATTTGCAATCTGTGTAACAATGATAAAAGCAGTGTAAAACTTAAATCTGGAATGGTGAAAAGAACACTGCAACTTTTGCGTCAGTTAGAACTTACAGAATACACTACGTACTAATATAATGGAACATTTTGAAAACTGAATATTAAGATTTTCATAAAATTATGCATACCATTCCCTTTTAGTATTTATTAGGATAAAATTATTATTCTTTAGTTTAGTGTATTTATTTTCATTAGAATCGTAATTAAACACAGTATTGATTATAAGCCATTATTGTTACAGCTAAGTGATTACTGTAGCTAACTGATTTAGTTAGATTTAGTAGATGAACTTGCAGTTCATGGTGGGCAATATGTTATGAATTTATGTTGCCAACAGTCAGGTGATGCTTCTTGCATCCTAACTCTTTAGAATACATTTGTTATTTCTTCACACTAAGGAATGAATTAAGAGCCTGAAGGTGTTATGCTCAATAATTCTTACTGTTGAAAGTTGAATGCAATTAAAGTATGTATGTTTATGTGCCAAGATCACTTATCTCTAGATTAAAGGAACTTAATTCTGAAGATGAGAAAAAAACTAAAAATGAAACTCACTTGCAAAGCTGAAGATTCAATTTTAAGTTTACTCATTGCTAATTCCGTTTTGGTATTTTCCAATTCATCATCCTGGGCATCTAACTAATTCAGCATATGTAAATTCACAAAACATTTTGAATTACATTTGTGCATAGATAAACAAAGAAAAAAAAACTAAAAGTTTCAAGTACAAAAATAACTGCAATATTACACAATGTACCATGTACCTTTTAACAGTCACAGCTTACATAATTATTTTTAGACAGTACACAGTTAGTATAATGGATCAAGACATTTAAAAAATAATATGGTGAGGAACAAAATTATAATAAGAAAGAAAATCTGATAATTATTTTAAAGAAAATACTCTCAAGTAAGCATATAATCATCTTGTTTAGTTAAATAAACTGCACAAAAAGGGCCCAATCCTAAACTTTCAGAGATCCTGGAACAGCAAAGCTGCTTTTACATTACTTTTGGGAAAAAAAAAAAAAAAAACCATACACAAAAGTGCAGAATTAAATCTGCTCTTCAGAAAAGCCCCCTAAACTGATCAACTGAATGGATCAAACTTCCTTATTAACTCATATCAATCAGCATGATATTTGAATTTACTGTTGCTTTTAGCAATTTTATCCTCATATACTGTATCATAAAGGCATTTATTAAATATTTGCAAAACTCACTACAGCATCTTTCCCTAACTCTATAGAAATAATGCCAGATTTTACAGAAACATACTTTTCATTAATCACTTTGTACAGAAAAAGGGCATTTTTAGGAAAATAACTTTAGCTGATTTTTAAGTCACATTAGTTATGACAGAGGTTGCATATAAACTTGCATATTTATGCAGCCATATTTATTGCTGCATGGTGCCATAAATGCAGTTGTCTCTACGTCAGCTTTCTGATCATTATATATCCTGAAATGTTGCTCTTATACCAGCTTACTAAAGTAGCTTAAAACAAAGCAAATAAAATATGCAATAAACTGCCGCAATGAATACTGAAAATTAATTGCACTGACTACGTAGGTTATTCATGCTGTTTTCACAATGTGTAGCATAAAAACAAGGCAGTTCCTCTTACAAAAGTTCTCCCTGAAGTCACCCTTCCCTTTAGGTATACACTCCTGAGGTGCACTGTCATATCCAAAAAGCCATATTAATCAACCTCATTCTAATCTTCTGAAAAAAAAAATTCTTCATTTTGAAGGTGTCTGCAAAATTAGGAGAAAGCAATTTGAATAGTTTGATTCTGCAAAGCATGAGAAAGGAATGTCTTCATAAAGAATTTACCAAGAGAACTGCCTCTATTCATGTCGCATACAGGGAAAACCATGAAAAATGCCCTTGAAGTCAGCCCTACTCTCAGGAAATTGAACCCAGGTCGAACTACCAATGTTCAGCTACTTTACTGCTCTGCCACTAGTAGGCCAAAACCAATTTGAAATCTTGCTAGTTAACATTTGAGAAGGTTTACATCACGTTAATGAAGAAACCTGAATTGAAAATAAACTAAAACTTTAATTTTGTAAAGCTGGTATACAACAGATTTTACTTCAGCAAGAATTCAAAATAAACTTATTCCAATTTCTTCTAAAAGTGTTTCACAAAGATCTAATTTGTGCATTAAAGGTGATTTTGGTTACATTACTGTACTGAAGAAGAAAGTAGGCAAAAAGCCTCACTAAATGTACAGATTTTGGCTTCACTCTCCTTACTTATATGCAGATTTAAAGCTTGATTTATGACCACTAAGGGAGGGCTAACAAAAATTATTATTAAACTTAAGGTTAAATCAAGGATGCAGCTTAATTCTGTTTTAAACAGGATATATTTTTGAAAGTTTTTAACTTGTTAACACTTTATTATCTGGTTACTTAACATTTTAAGCATGTAGACAACAAAAAGATTAATAATGGCTAAATGGTTAAGACTACTGAAAACTAGTAGTTCAGCCTAGATTCAAATCCTGGTGAAAGGGTGTTTTTGTGGTTTCCCTGTACAGCAACGGATCAGTTTTCTTTAGAAAGAATCCCCAAACTCTCAGACAAATACCCCTACTTGGCTTTGCCCTTATTAAATAATCCAAGGCAATCGACATAACAAAATTATTTTTTTAAATAATGTTTAATAAAATATTACTTCTCAATAATTTCAACATATCACTATCAAATGATTTTTCAAAGATAAAGAATAATCCAATTTGTTTCACTAATTACATATAAAATGTACAATTTTTTATATCAAGCAAAAGTGGCAGATCAAAAAGAAGTGAGTGCTAGAATTCCAATTTTATAAGTTAACAAACACTCCTTCTATATAGCAATTTTACAAATAAAAAATTTAAAAGCGAGCAATCTGACATCTCACAGATGCGTTTATCTCAAAAAGCTGAAAAACAAAGATTATACAAATAATTCAAGTCTGTTAAATAATATTAATAGCTATCAACGCCAATTCATAAAACAAATTTTTAATGATAAAAAATAAAAGTTTTAAAAGTTCTGACATCTGCTTTTGTATTTCTTTCTGAAACTTAAAATCAGGTAATTATAAAATTTAAAAACAGAAATATACCGTAATTTCTGGAAGAAACGCCGCGGTGTTTACGTGTTTAAAACTTACCCATGCGCTTTTAGGTGGCAGGTCATGGTCATTGTACATAGTTTGGATGGCCTTGTATTTGTGCGATAGCTGTTCCCACAAAAAAGACCATTCATTGCTTTTCGAACGATTTTGTTTACATTCCTTTCCCTTGAGACCACATGCCTTATTCACTTTAAACGAGATCTCAGAACAATAACATTTCCTTCAAATCAACATTCTCATCAGTTTGAATAGTCTCTCTCCTCTGCCATTCGATGAATCTTCCAGGACCCTCCTCTCCCAACCCCTGCCTTTTTTGCAATTTTTTTCAAACTATGCACAACACTCTGAACGAGACATACAGCAAGTACAAGGCTGTGAATGTGGGCCTATAAAGCTCAATATAATTTAGGAACTGGAAATCGAGCAGCAGTGGACGACAGAGTATTCGACGTTGGAGAACTGAAAAAGAACTTCTTAAAAATATGCACAACAAAACGAGACAAAAGAAGTGGTCTGTAAGTGGGCCAAATCTAGGACGACCTGCAAACTGGATAAAGGAGCACGAGGAAGGGAATGGCAATTTCGACTGTAAAAATTCGACAAAAAATGTATAGCAAAACGAATGACTAAGATTCAGGAGGTGTCGCAGATTTAGAAAAGAAAAAATTTATCTGCATACTAGAACAACAGTCGGGCAACAATTACCAATGGACTGGCAGGATAAAAAGTCCTCTTTTCTAAAATATGTGACAGCTATTATTGACAAAAAAAATAAACTTCTTCGGTCACAGATAATAAATATGGATGAAACGCCGTTAGCTTTCGACTCTCCTGCAAACAGAACTGTTGATGAAACTGGTGCAAAAACTGTATCTGTGTTTATGACGGAGCATAAAAGAACGTCATTTACATGTGTGTTAGCTTGTGCCGCAAACGGTGGCAAGCTAAAGCCAATGATCATTTTTAAACGAAAGACTATTCCGAAGGGAGATTTTCCTAATGACATAATTATTTAATCATGCACGAGTGGCTACAAAAAGTTTGGCAGTGTCATATGAGATCTTTTTTCCAACCAAAAGGGTTATTCGTAATGGATTCCATGCGTGCTCATTTCTTTGAGTCAGTGAAAACAAGATGTCAAAAATTGTCTACGACCGAAGCAATAATTCCTGGTGGTTTGACAAAAATCTTATAACCATTATATTTGTCAGGTAATAAATCCTTCAAAGCTGAAGTCCGAAAGCGGTGGGAAGTGAAGTGTGAAGGATTGCATACGTAAACCAAAAGCGGTAAAATGCGTAGAGCATCTTATGAAGAAATTGCAAAGTGGGCAGGAAGTGCATGGAAATCGGTAGAAACATCGTCAATAATAGCAGGGTTCAAAGAAGCTGAAATTATATCCTTAGATAAAGAGACTGTAAACCAAGAGGATGAATGTGACGATCTGGAAGACTTAGATCACGATTTACTAAATCTTTTTAATTCAGATAGTGAAGAATCAGATTTTGATGGCTTCATATGATGTATAATTTGCTGTAATTCGTAAGTAAAATTTAAAATTTCCTTTTGTCATCCAAATTTAATATTTCGTTGTTGCAACATTTTTTATAATATAGTCTGAGTATTACAAATATGGACTTCTTTAGTGGGTAAATATAAGTATATACATGAAGATAAATATATTTTCCACATTTCTTACCTTTAATTTATTTTTGAGTTATGGTTTCATTTCATGCATTTTTCTTAACTGGTATGTCATATATGAGGACTTAGGTTGAGTTTTTGCATCTATACGGCCCACGACGATGTCACGGGCAATTTAATCTATTGCGGCGTTTACGCTGATGCGGCGTTTCTGTGTAATTTTAATTTTTTCCCTGCCATTTTTCTTGAGTGCGGCGTTTACGCTGATGCGGCCTTTCTTCCGGAAATTACGGTAAATAAACCCTTGTAATTTATACTTCACTTCAAAAAGTCATCATAATCATTAGGTTCTACTTTGGACAATCCATGCAAGTACTAGATTTAGCATTTTTTCACAATTGACTTATTTTAGGGCATTAAATATCTGCTTTATGTACTGATGACACAGAATAACACCCGTCAAAATGTTATTAAAAAAAAGTGTAGATAAAAAGATTTTTTTCTCCGATTTTAATTTTAACCTATCATCACGAAGAGAAAAATTTAATGCTGATTCTGGCATTAAATATGTAAGCACTCAAAAAAAAGGGGGAGAACAAAACTGGCTTGAGTCTATGTACGAAGAATGATTTAGCATACCTCAAATGAAATGGGGAAGTTTAAGTACTTACGCAGGGCGAATAATGAATGCTAAAACTCTAAATTAAAAGGAAAGCTATGACCTTGAGGTGCCTATATGTCAAATATCATTAAAAAATACTTTAAGCAGTGCAAACCTTCACATGCCTGTGCAAAGGCTGTAGCCACAATGGTATGATTTCCAGAATCAATGGTTCTGTATCTATTCTCTGTTCATCGTAAC